TAAAATATGATAAAAGAAAAAACAACAAAATTTCATTTCAATATTATTAGATTATTATTGTATTCCATTATTAGAGCCATTAGTAGAAATGTTTTTCTCGAAAAACGATTAGAAGAAAAAAAAAAAAAAAAAAAAAAAGAAAAAACGAGCATATGTTAAAAACGTTCAATTTAATAAAAATCTCACAAAATTGTTCGTAATGTAGGTATAATATAATATAATAATCCTTGGAATCATAGTGTACCGTTTCATTTGGAAACATTAGTAGAAGTCTTTTTCTTTCTACCATTTTGTCGCAAATCCCTTTGTTCTTTTTCTCATTTTTTCCACGTGAACCCTTTTCTCTCCCTTTTCAGACGCCGCACGATCGATCACTCGGCGTTTTGTTCGTTTATACCCTTACGCACAAGTATTTCTTTTTTTCTTCTTATTTTCACCCTTTTCCTATTTCTTTTATGGTGTTCCTTTTCCCCTCTTTTTGCTTGAAGATCTATTGTGAACTTTTCTTTTTCTTTTTTTTTTCCCCTTTCCTTCTTCCTTTCTCTTTCATACACTACTTTATCTCATTCCAACATCTTTGTCAACGTTTACACATGCGGTTTATACAGAGATATACATAGAATACATACCAAAATGATCGACTAAATTTTATTTGGTCGCTTTTAAATATATATATATGTATATATATATATACATATATATATATATATATATATATATATATATATATATACTTTTTCCACATTAAAGAAAAGGAGAGAAAGAGAGTACACACAGATTCACAAATCATTATTTTCTCTTTCCAGTAGATAAAATCTTATCGGTGTTATTACTGTCTTTGAATATAAGGAAAAGTAATGTCTGATTAAAACGAAAATACTTCGATACAGTTTTTACATTTGTAACGTTTTCTCAGATTTATTTGAAAGAATGTAAAAGTACTTATGGACTTAGGTGTTAGCCGACGTCTTTGAAACGATAAAAGGTTCTAATTAAATTACCCGCATAAGGTTCTATCTGTAAAGGGTACGTATATATAATTCTATCTGTAAAAGTGACATACGTACGTAACTCAATCGCAAGACTTTGATGTACAATTATCTGTATAATTAAGAGTAGGCATGCCACACATGAGTCTATTGATAACCCTTTTGACATCGAAATCTTGTCAGCTGCCTGAAGTCTTAACAAATATCCAGTAAAAACCGCTTATTGGTTGAATTTACTCGGATTGCTCGATATTACAGTTATGGACGTTAAAATTATTATTCATTCAGTTTAACGATTGAAACTTTAATTATTTATTTATTTGTAATATTTTCTTTTGCAAGTATGTAAAAAGGAAGAAAGAAAAAAATTCAAGAAGATAAAATAAAATAAACTAACGATGCAAAAAATAATATTTAACTTCTTTATCGTTTCTAAGTAAATAATAAATAATTGATGCTACGAACGGCAATCCATTGTCCTATATACCGTACATGCAATTATATATAATACCGATGTATATGTATTTATTTTTTTTTTCTTTTTTGCATATGATAAAACTACAAGCTCGAATAAAAGACCGAGGAGTACTTGAAGAAGAGTAATTGATTTTTAAAACCGCTAAGGTTTTTTTTGACTCTTCTTGTATATATATTTTTATAATTATATATATATATATATTATATATTATATATTATATATTGTATTTATACTAAAGAAAAGGGGAATCGTTCAAAAAGAGAAGAAAAAGGCAAAACGATTTATTCCAAGGTTGCTTTTGAGTTGCGTTTCATGTTGGCTCAAAGAACGTTCGTATTATCGTCATCGGGACAATAAATTTCATTTAGGTTTTCCTAAAGGTTCTCATCTTTCAAGCAGGGGACAGAAATAGGAAAGTTTCATACTTGGGTTTCTCAAGGAAGAAAGACGAAACTTGGTAAAGTTTTAATCTTAATCTTTCGAGCAATCGGCATAAGTACATCCGATCGAAGCTTACCTCTTTTCTTTACACTCTCCTTTCATTTTGCATATGATGACTTCAAAAGTTCATTATATCAAAATCTTAGATCACGATTATAAATTCGATATTAATAGTTATCGAAAATTCATTATAAACAGACTGAACGTGGATAGAGTATGACAAAATTATATTTAATATTTTCTCTAAACAATTTTCTTTAATGTTAAAATTAATTAAAAAAAAATCTATTAACTATTTTCATTACATTTGTTTATTTAATAGATATTTCAAAACGAAAGATAAACTTCATATTCGTTATTATTTACTTTGTAATAAATAAAAGAAAGGATTTCATTATAAAAAATAATATATACCTATATTTCTAGCAATTTGCTAATCGTAGCGTTAACTTTTCTATTTATTAGTTTTTTTCTTCATTTGTAAATAAAAAAAATAATAAACTTTCTGTATTGAGATTTCTTTTGGATAGAATATTCTTTTGATATTTAAACGAAGGGAATAGCAAGTTAATATATACATATATATATATATATATATATATATATATATATATAATATCGATTATATAGATAGTAGGTTTTCAATCTGGGTTAAATGTACAAATCGTCTTTTTAACAATGTTTTTTTATCAACTTTGTTGCATCATTGATGCATCGCGTGCACCACCTGCATCGCGTGCTTTTCTTCTTTTTTTGTTTATCTAGTAAATTTTGCAAATTGACAAAATTCAAAACTTCGTATGACACGTAACATTATTTCTTTTTTCTTTTTAATTTTTTTAATTATTCGTGCAACATTCAAAAAGAATCATTAAAATTAATAAAAATTTTTTCTTTTTCTTTTTTTAACTTTAATACTAGTTTTTAACTAGTATTAAATTATTATAAAATATTTAAATTGTAAATAGCTTTTATAGATAGTTATATCTATTCTTTCTTTGTTTATAAGATTGTTATATCTATGCAATCTTTGTAAAGAAAATCACAGATAAATAATTACAATATTTATCATCAAAATAAAAGAATATTGTCTTTCATTCTTTTCTAATGTTTAACAATTATACTTATTATTTATACGTGTATGTGTGAGTACGTCATCCGAAATCTGGAAACGTCGAAATTCATTTCAAATTGTCAATATCCACTTTAACGATATCGAGCTTGATGTATATTTATCATTTATCATCAAATTTTAATTAAAAAGTATGTTATAACTTTCATGTGTGTATGTGTGTGTGCGTATATATATATACATATATATATATATATATTTATATTTTTATTTTAATTCAAATTCTCTTTTAATTGTTATTTTTTGTTTCAAAAAATATCTCATATATGTATATATATATGTATATATATATATATCTTGTTTTTTAAAAGCTGTATCAAATGCGATGAACGGAATAATTAATTGAAAATAATCAATGGCTATGATATATATATACCTTTTAAATTTCAAAAAGAATACACGTATATAGTAATAAATATTAAAATTAAAAACAATGAACAGGAGAGATTACATATATATATATATATATATATATATATATATATATATGTAAAAAAATAAATAAATAAATAAATAATAATAAATTATTTAAGTAATGATATAAATGTCTACATGTACATTCGTTTATTTTACACTGCTTAATCTCCACTTGTTACGTTAATCTATATAGATTAATGTGATCTGTTTTTAACCACCTGGCTTCGATATATATAGGATAGATAAATATATATATATATATATGTATGTATGTATTGACATATTATATATTATTATAATCCTTCGATATTTTACTCATCCATCTTTTACAATTTATCTGTACGATATTTGATAAAGCAAAAAAAAGATAATTTCTGTAGTTTTTTTTTCTTTGTCTCTCTTTAATCTATCGCGAAGCATTTCGTTTCTAAACGTTGCCCAAGAGGCTTATATACTTTTTTTTATATACTTTTGTCCCTTCTTTGCTTCTCTCTCTCTCTCTCTTTCTCTCTCTCTCTCTCTCTCTTTCTCTCTTTCTCTCTCTCTCTCTCTCTTTCTCTCTCTCTCTCTCTCTCTCTTTCTCTCTTTCTCTCTCTCTCTCTCTCTCTCCTATTCTCTTTCTCTCTCTCTCTTTCTCTCTTTCTCTCTCTCTTTTTCTCTTTTTCTCTCTCTTTCTCTTTCTGGTGAAAGAAACAAAAAATTGTTATGGCTGTTGTTAAGCCAACATTGTTCTTACGGTTTCCATGATATCGCCATAAAGTTATACCGAATTATGCTAAGATCTTAAAAAGCAACTTGCTAATATCTTGTTTTCATCGAAAGTATTTTTCCCTAAGGATATAACCTTTATGCTAATTTGTGATAATCCTGAAACGGTAGTGAGGCCACTGGATGAAAGATTATTAAATTTTAACGAAGAACAATTTTTCTCTTCCTGCACAGGTTTTCATTATTTTTACACGTTATTTTATTACCACTATTACTAATATTACTACTATTACTAATAATAATGCAATTACTACGACTTTTCTTTTAATTTTTCGTTCGGTCAGCCACAAACAAGGTAAATAATAAAGGAAGAATCTTTCATGCATTTCAAATTACTTAGACTAGATGGTACAGTAAAGTAGATAGAAAGATATTTTATAAGATGCATTTCCCTTGTAAAGATTGCTTGAACAAATTCTTTTTCTTTTTGCTTCTTTTTTTTTCTTTTTTTTTTTTTTTTCATTGATTAATCTACACGACAACATTATATTAATTTAATGTGATTTTTAGAAAGTTATATTACACAACGATTATATTGTTATATTTATATTATATATAAAACAATAGTTTTAACAATTTTAACAAAAAATATATAAATGAAATAAATTCTGGGAAGAAACATGATATGATAATATAAAATATATATGATAGCATATATATTTTATGAAAAAAAAGAAAAAAAAACACATTAAATGATTACATTAAATCTCTATAAAAAGAAAAATAAAAAGTAATAAAAAAAAATAAAAATAAAAATACAAATAGATATACTCACCGAATATACAGCAAATGAAAACGATCGTGTACAGTAAGATAAATATCACTTTAACATCAGTTCTATCGAAGATGTAATCTTCCGACAGAGAATCGTTGTAAGACAACTGATAGTAACTTTGATTGTCGATGAATGTCCCATTGATACTATTATTCAATTCGTAATCACTCGTTTCTGGATCGTCGTTTAATCTGCAAAACAATTGTTAGAAAATCTTTTTTATCGTTTACAATTATGTAATTACTATTTTATGTTCAGAAAATTCAAATGCCAAAAAAAAGAAAAAATTAAATAATATAGGTACATATATATATACATATATACATATATATATATATATATATTTTTTTTTTTTTCATTCATATTCATCGTAATAATTTTTATCAATAAATGTAAAAATTATTGAGTATTTTTTTATATTAAAATAAAAAAAGAAAATATTATCTAGATATTTGTTACTCGGTTTACTTTTCAATTTTATTTTTTTTTCAAATGCTAACAATATACATTAATGAATGTAAAACGGCAGAATGTTCTTGCGTTGGTAAATAAAATTGTTATTATTATTTTGAGTGGATATAATTGGTCTTTAAAAATAAATTACACCCTCAGTTATTTTAATGAATGAATGAAAGTTTATTGGATTTCTCTTTTTCTCTCCTCAATTACAATCGAACGATGATGGAAGATATTTTTTTCAAAGAACAGGAATTGACTATAACTTGTAATAAAATAGATTTAACAAACATTAAAGTAACATGAAGTTTGTCAAATATTTAAATAAAATCTATTCAACGAAATCAATATTATCTTTTAATAAAATACAAATGTTTAAGAGAGAATTATAATCAGGGTAGTATTAAAAGAATATTTACCAATCTTTTTATTAAATGAACGCTTGGATTTTCTATCTTTTGTTTGACCTTTTCTGATTCATCGTCGAGTTTCTAGTGTTCATGGTGCCGTGGAAAATTAATTACGTGAAACGAAGACATCATGGGTAATCTCGATTTTTAAATCTAATCTATTTAAAACCAAAATATTTTAATATATATATATATATATATATATATATATATATATATATATATTAAATATATTATCATTCAAACGATATTTCTATTAATGTCACTTGATTTGTGTACATAAAAAATCTATTATGCTATAAAATTTTCTTTAGAGATTTGTGACCATTGCTTTTTTTCTTATTTATTTCTCATACGATAGATATATAATGTTTTATATTTATGATTATGTATTATATATAATATTATTATTATTCACAAGTATTTATTATTATTTTCATTGTGAATTCTAATCTACTTAATGATAACATCTATTATTTGATTATAATTTTTCAAATAAATTTACATTGATCGTAATATTTTATTCGAAATCCTGTATTCTCGAAGAATTCGTTTTAACATGAAAAAAAAAGGGCCATGAAAGGATAATAAGATTACTGAAGAAAAAGTATTCTCGAAAAGTTGACATTTTTCCTTGAATCAATCATTTGCAATTCTTTGAGTTTTAACTAAAATATAGATAAATTCACGTAAATATTTTTTTTTTTTTTTGTTAAGAACTCACATAGCTCTTAATGAACTTTGTTGAAATATTTAATATGTTTTCTTTTAGATGAAACTTTTCGAAGAACTTATTTCGTTCTGTCGTTATAATTTAAAAAATTGTGTACCCATGTATCCTTATACATAATTATATGAAACAAATATAAAAAAAATTAATGATATTATATCTTAAAATGATTGAATTATTTTAATTCTTTATATTTTTATTTATATTTATTATAATTATTTTAATTGTCTTTAAAATATTTAATAACAGATCTCAAACAATAACAAATAAATTTACTTTACAAGTATAGCAATTATTATGAATTTATTTAACATAATTTAATTATATTTACAATTTTAAAAAGGTATATATTTTATTATCAAAACATTTCTAATTATTTTTAACAGGTTATCTGTTTATGTATATTATTATAAAAATCTAACGTTAATGAATCTTTTAGTGTCACATATTCACTCTCTCTCTCTCTCTCTCTCTCTCTCTCTCTTTTTTTTTCTAGTGTACATACAAACATATGTATGTATATATGTACATACTTATATATGTACATATGTATCACACATGAACAGTATGAGATTGCATGTTATGCCAACGAACGATATCGGAATATTTGATTCCTTTAGCGAATGAACCAGCACTGCATTCGCATCGATATTTTACGATCGGTACTATTGGCATTTATTTACTTTTAGATGTTCTACAAAACCGATTATCCATAATGAGAGAAAAAGATGTAGTAAAATGAAATTTCACTTTGAATAAAAACGTCATTTTCTCAAAAAACTTTCACCAAAGATATGACAGAAAGAAATATTTCTTTTTTTTTTCTTATTATTATTAATTAATACGGGAATTTTTTTCTTTCTCTTCTTTCACATTTTTGTAATATTTCAAGATATTTTATTCGGTCATTGTGAATTCTACACTATTTAATTCATTTTTATGTATGTATATTTATACATGGACCTTGAATATTATTTGACATAAATTTTAACAAATTGCATAATAGTCAAATTATATATTTGTAATATTCTAAGATGTCTTGTAAAATTTTTATTGAAATATTTACGTCTTTTAATTCCGACAAGATATTCCCGCGTAAATATAAAATTTAATTATTAACAATATAGAGAAAAATTTTATCTTCGGTAAAAAAAGTAATTTGTTTATTGATTATTTATTAATTTATGTTATTTTATAAATCGATCGCAATATGAATTTCTTTTTGTTTTTGTAAAATAATACGAATTTACTTTCTAAAAAATTTGTTTATAAAAATTGTTTATAACAAATTGTTAATTAATTATTAACAATACGCTGAAAAAAAATAGTGTAAATTCTGTCCTTTAAAATGATAGTTCGTTCAAGTTTCTACAATTTTTAGTTTCGGAGATATTCCTATATAAATGAAAGGCATTTAGGTTGGCCCAGTGACCTATATAATTTCATTCAAAATGGGTCGATGGCACACTAACCTACATAAATTCTGCAAATTTACTCGATCTTACTATTACTACTACTACTACTATTACTACGTAAATCCGTATTATACGAATTATGAATGAAAATATTTCAACAGCGATATTTCCAGAAAGAAAAGTCTGGGAGATTTGAAATCAACGCCGTTTTCAAGTATAATTTATTTTTCATTTATTTAAATATTCCAATAATATTGTTATAATAAAATCCATTTTGTTAATAATTATTATAATTGAATTTTTTTTTCTTTCGCAATAAGAACGTAACTATCGTGAAATCATTAACATTTTTATTATAATTATGTAAATTTTATTTTGTTTATTTACTATTTTTCGTACTATTACTATTAATATTATTATTATTATAAAAAAATTTACTAAGCGAATTATTAATGGAAATGTTTGGAAGGCAATATTTTCGGAACAAACAATCGTAGAAATTTGAAATCAACGCCGTTTTCAAGCGTAATTTATTTTTCATTTATTTAAATATTCCAATAATATTGTTATAATAAAATCAATTTTGTTAATAATTATTAAAATTGAATTTTTTCTTTTCTTTCGCAATAAGAACGTAACTATCGTGAAATCATTAACATTTTTATTATAATTATGTAAATTTTATTTTGTTTATTTACTATTTTTCGTACTATTACTATTAATATTATTATTATTATAAAAAAATTTACTAAGCGAATTATGAATGGAAATGTTTGAAAGGCAATATTTTCGGAACAAACAATCGTAGAGATTTGAAATCAACGTCGTTTTCAAGTTTAATTTATTCTTTATTTATTTATTTAAATATTGCAACAATATTGTTACAATAAAATTGTGTTTGTTAATAATTTTTTTTAATTGAATTTGTTTTTCCTTCTTAATAAAGACATAACTAGTATTGAAATTATTAAATTTTTAACAGTTGAAGTAAATAAATTTTATTTCGTTTATTTAAAATATGAGATTTAATGATGTGAACTTACTTTTTTTAATTTTCATTTATTAAACCTAAAAAATGTGTTCTACACTCTGTTTAAGCTATAACTTTTCTTGATACAAACAATAATTTATCCACCTACATTTTATTTACTTAAATTAAACAAAAAAGAGGGAAAGAGAAAGAGGAATTGTAAAATATTTATTGATCATGTTCTGGAACACTCAATAATCGAATTACTATCTCTATGAATTATATAAGGAAAAGTACTATTGAAATTCAAAAGTGATTGAAAAAATCGAAGTGAATTTGTCGATACGAGAATCATGGAGTTGAAACGTGAGGAAGCATAGCTTATGATCAGATTGAACTATTTAAAAAAAAAAAAAACTCAAGAAAATAGAAAAAGAAAGAAAGAAAGAGAAAGAAAGAAAGAGAGAGAGAGAGAGAGAGAGAGAGAGAGAGAGAGAGAGAGAGAGAAAGAGAGAGAAATAAAAAAATGAAGAAAGAAAAAGATCCATCTTACGTCATCCAATTAATTTGCTTCTATTATGAATAATTAAGAAAATTTTAATCCTCGTTCTATTCGATAATCACTTATCTTAATATACGATGAGATGTAAAAGTTCATGTTTTTTTTTTATTTACTTTTCATTTTCTTATTTTCATTTTTCACATTTCTTTTTTCGAGAATAAACTTTAGAAAGTGTTCACGGTTGATAATTCAAAATCGATCCAAATTATATCGACGAAGTTTAAAAGTAGTACCGAGATAATGGGTCTGATGTTACTTTTCTTTTTTTTTTTTTTCTTATCAATTTATATCAAACTAATCACTTGCAATTTTATTTAATAATTATGTAATAATTTTATTTAATAAAAAATAAAAAGAAGAAAAAAGAAAAGGGTAAAGGTAGGGGAAAGAAATGATAGATCCAGAAGAAACGTGAAAATCGTTTATTCTGAAAAAAGAAATGAAAATTTGGAGGAGGTACGGCGTCGAGGGAAATGTAAACGAATGAGTGACGAACGGATAGGTCAAGTTCGTAGATTCCTACCGTGACTAGAATTCTATCCAATTCGGTTGTAGCAACGAATGAAGCTTTTACGCTATATAAACGATGCTTTTTTCTTTTTCTCTTTCCTTTTTTTCTGTTCTTTTTTTTTTCTCTTTTTTTTTTTTCCTTTTTTTTTTCTTCCTTTTTTTTGACGACCTCTCGAGAAGACTTATCGCAGAAGCTCTTTTGTGCGTAGGCCAAGAATTCGAAACGATTTACTGAAAGTTTTAATTAAACTTTCTAAAGTAAGAGAACTTGATCTTGATTCGTATTTTATAATAGTATCTACGTTCTTACATTTCCAAGAAAATTCTTACCTATCCCAACTGGTTCTCTCACAATGCTTTCTGTATTTCTCATATCAAAAGTAATATCAGATATATATGTACATACATAGGTATATATGTGTATATATACGCATATATGTATCTGTAAATATTATATTATGAAAATGAAATAAGGAAAAAGAAGAATTCTGATTAAATTAACGATCGATTGGTAAGATACATTATTGCAAATATTAATTTTATTCCAGGATGGACCAAAAGTATCAAAATTACTTTGAAAATTAATTATTCTTTTTCAAGATTCTTGAAATTAATTTTTTATTTTCCATACTAATTATATAAGATTAAAAATCTAACTACAAGGATAATAGAGTCTCGAAAAAGTAACTTTCGATTCATATATAGATATTTATATGTAACTATAGTATATTGATTTTACTCTATCGGATTTAATGATACTGATCAATCGATTCTAATGGTTTATATTTTCTATGCTTATTTGTACGAAAGAGAAGAGAAAAAAAAGTAAAATTTCAATCGAATTAACGATTGATTAGAAAAGCGTTTCATTAGTGACAATACTCTATCGAATTTAACCAAACCGATCGATCGATTTTATTGGTTCGTGTCTTTCTAATGACAGTGATATCCTTCAATGTATTTGGGTAAACTAATGGGATAGTCAATAATTGTGTTTTAGTTCAATTGACATTAAAAAGAAAAGTTTTACTTTCAATCGATCTTATCTCTCTCACCGCAATAAAAAAATAATGTGTTAAAAAAATGTAATATGGAGAAATGGTGTATTTTAGAAATGTTTCTATATATACATTTGAAATGTGACGATCAATGAAGATCTATTTTTTTTTAAGTATTCCGTCCTTGATGACAAAATATGCCAACATTAGAAAAATTATATTATTAAATATTAGAAATATTTTTACGTATTTGAAACGTAACAATCAATGATAATAATTTTTTCTAAACATACCAGTCGACGAGACTATTTCAAGGGACACATTACTGTGAGTGATAAATAGAAACCCATAAAAAAGTTTTCTAATCAAATTTTCAATTTTTTTTTTCGCGCTATAATATAGACGATAAGGAGAATGATATACTTGATTATGAGAATTTTATTTTAAATATTTTATTTTTATTTTTTCGTCGTATCCTTATCTAAATAACAAACTACCTTTTTTATGATAATCTTTTTTTTTTCTTTTACATTAATTAATGCGATACATAAAAAGTATATGCTAATATAAAACTTTTAATTTTCGTACAAATATGTCGACAATAAAAGAAAGAAAAAAATATTAAATTATGAGATTTTATAAAAGAAATTTTACCTCATTATCGTATCCTCGCCAAATAAAAGGATCTTTTCTGTGGTAGCCATAGTCTTCCTTTATCTTGATAATTCACAAGCTTTTATCTTTTAAAATCCACTTCACACATCCATAAAGCTCTATAAATTCTTCCTAACTATAAATCTTTTCAGAATAAATCTCGATCGTTGTTATTTATAATATAATATTATTTCGTTTGGAACATATTTTCATTTCTTCAATTAAATCTTGATAATATATCATTTATTTGACACGTCAAACTTAGAGTCACAATAATCCCCATCGATATTTTTTATTTTCTTGTTTCTTACTCCTATTACTATTACTATTATTATTATTATTATTATTATTATTATTATTATTATTATTATTATTATTATTATTATTATTATTATTATTATTATTATTATTATTATTATTATTATTATTATTATTATTCTACGTGTTTGTCCTTCGCGTGACAAATTTAGTTTTTTCTTCGACCATCCTAATATAAATCAAAATGATAAGAGACACGTCACAGCATCTCCTAGCGCGTTTTGATGAAAAAAAAAAAAAAAAACTATATCAAATGATTAAAACAGCGATCTCCCATGGGGAAACATCGATTGTGATCAAATTAAGCTGTTATCGTCACCTTTATCTTCTACTCACTTAATTCTAATTATATCAAAGTTTCATTGTTTTTATAATTTAGAAAAAAATGTTTAAACAAAATTCGCACTTATTCACCTTTCATATGTTTACGAATTACACATACACATCGTATTTTCATTCACTTCATACATATAGTAT